GCCGCGTCGCGCGGCTCAACGCGCCCAAGAGCACTGAGAATTCAAATTTTATGTATTATCCTTGTCAGAGAAAAAAGGTTGAGTCGAAGTGTATGCGATGTTTGTAAACAAATATCTGAAAGCGTAAACAACCGGAAACAGTTGAAACGAGTGCGACAGTAACCCGGCGGGAAAATGTTAAATTTACCTATTTTTTTGTTTTTCTCATATTTTGCAGCAAATTTCGCCGAATATGGTTTTTTTTTTCATTGTTTTTTGCGGTATTTAAAATATATTCGACGAAATTTGCTGCAAAATATGCGAAAAGCAAAAAAATGAGTAAATTTAATATTTTCCCGCCGGGTTACTGTCGCACTCGTTTCAACTGTTTCCGGTTGTTTACGCTTTCAGATATTTGTTTACAAACATCGCATACACTTCGACTCAACCTTTTTTCTCTGACAAGGATAATACCCTGTTGCAACCCCGTGGGATTCTCAAATTCTATGCAATTTTTCCTTGTTATTCACCTGTAACCTCCCATTCTACTTACATTTTTTGAAATTGTGCTAACTCTGACTTTGTCTGTAATTTTGACCTTCCAAAAATCTTGTACGATAAAACTATGTGATGAAATTTCCCTCATTTTTGGCGCCAAGCTTCTCCCTGTTCATTCAAAAACTGACACTTTAATAATGCATTTCTCATTTTTTTCTCATTTTTTTTCTTCAATTTTCCTCCCCTCATACAAAGAAGACCTAGTCTCTGTCCCCCCGCATCATTCCTTTCTCTTTCCCCATTTTTTTGCCATATAAATATTGATTTCCTTTTTTCTTTCGGCCTTTTTATTACAACAAAAGGTTCTTTCACCTGTCTCCATCGATATCTGATTTTTTTTGTATAGTCTACATATCGAAAAACTGAGATTTCAAGGTTAATCAACGGGTTCCAACCATGACCAACATGCAACATTACATGGATGACATCCAGGATTGTAAGGATTTTTTTGAAATTATAGTTTGTAGTCTGTTGCTTTTTTTCAGTGCTCGACGGTCTGAACGAGGAAATGTCGAAGCGGCTGAGAAAGATTTCGAAATGGGAGGATCAGATCGTTGAGAAGTCTCCAAATCTCAAACGGCTCGAGAATCTTGTCTTCGACAGCTCCAGACCGATGACGGAACGAAGCGACGCGGCACATAAGCTTGCCGATTTGAAGAACGAGATTCGATTGCTGTCGGAGAAAAAAACGGAACTCGCGGAGAAGAATCACCAAACTGTTCACAAGATTTACGAGAAGTTGAATGAGTTGGCATATCACTGCAAGTGTGAAGTCGAAATAGACAATCCTGGATGTACAGAGCAGCGAGAGCGAGAGTTCTTCAAGTCACTGGACAAGAATAATTACAATGGTTCTGGGGTGTTGACTCCACAGTCATTTATCGATTTATTGCCGATTAGTGGACGAAATAGAAAGAGGGAAAGTTCGATAATGACTGATGATGGACAATCGACAAGAAGTGTTACTCCGTTCAGTGGAAGGTTTGTTACATATCTTCAATTTGTAGTTTGTATAGTTAAAAGATACATTCAAAAACGTATTTTCAGTTGATTTTCGGTCATTTTCAAGAGGCTGTAACTCGTCTGTCAAGTTTCCGATCAGTTTGAAAAATTTCGAGGGCGTGAAACAGACCTATATTGAAAACTCTGCATTCAGAGCATTTTTCGAAATTTTCTAGTTTTTCAGCTATTTGCCGATTTTTGGAAGACACCTATTTTCCCGTTTTCAGTACAAAAACTGGCCAAAGAGGGATACCGTAAAAACTCTAATAGAACGCCACCCGGAAAGATATCAAAAAGTTGTCAACTGATACAATTTTTATCATGATATCAGCTACATTTTATTAGTTAACCACTTTTTGATATCTCTCACGGAAAATGAGATATATAGGCTCAAATTTGACAAATCGGGTGACGTTCTATTAGAGTGTTTCAAACTGATTTTGTCAAACGGGCCGAAAGGGGATATCTTTCAGAAACCGGCAAATAGCTGAAAAAATAGGAATTTTCGAAAAGTTCTGTGAAATGTGTTCAATCTAGGTCAGTTCTAGACCCTCCGAATTTTTTTAATAATCGGAAACTTGATAGCTCTGGAAAATGGTCAACACCGCTACTGTACATTCCCATTTTTCAGCAGAGCCGTCCCCAACAAAAAAGGACCTGGACGTCCACGCACAGACAAGAGATCCAAGTTCAAAATGGCTCACTTCGAGATGATCCCAGAGAGTTCAACTGTCTCCAGCACTCGTTCGAGTGCGGAGCCGGAACTTCGCACCGGTGAGAAACGGCCAAAGGCAATGTCAAAGTACATGCGAAAGAAGCAAGAGAGATTGCGACAAGAAGAAGAACAGAGAGCACGCAGTGTGCTGTTCGAGGTGAAGAAAGAGTTAGATTCTGGAGATTATGAAAAATTCGCAATGAATCCACACGGTGAAGGAACGTCGAGTATGGCTGCTGAAGCTTCGACGTCCTGTGTGGATTTGTGCGAAGAAGATGAGAAGGATCTTCTCGACTGTTTGAATTTCTCTGGACTTCCGTCGCCACCAAGAGGAATGATGGAGGATATGGATGTTAGTGAATCTGGTTAGTCCCCTTTAAAATTTTTTTTTATTTTACAAAGTACTATTTTCAGCACTCTACTCGATGGAAATGTATCCTCCAAATCACAATGCATCGCCCGAATTCCGTCATCCAGCTGCATCTGGTTCCGCTTCTGCATCAAGAAGCCAAAGTTTTACCACACAACGCTCTAACAATGTAGGTTCAACCGTGTTCACACAGGGTTTACCAAAGCGCTCTATTTGCACCCATTTCTTTTCCTTTCTATCATAATAATTTTCCAAACTAACATAGGGATCTGCGGCGGCATCGGCAGCTTCATCGGTCAGCGAACCATCGATTGTTGGTAAACGCGGCGGCGGCGGCGGCAGCAGCACGCAAAGAAACACTCTGTTCGGTTCGATAGCCGATACAAGTTTCAGTGGAAGACCGAGAAAGTACGAAAATCTACTGAAAATGAAACAAAATCCATTCGGGGGAAGACCTACTGTAGCAATTTTCATTGATTTGTCGTTTCGGATTTTCGAGCAAGTGAAAATATCAAAACTAGTTTTTATTCCATATAAATTACCTGAAAAGATTTGTGAGCTGGTTTTGTGGCTTGATATAAACATTTTATTCTCATGAAAACGATGTTTTCAGACTAACAGACCGCGTAACTGAAATGATCAACGCCAGTCGCGAGAAGAGTCAAATAAAAAAGAATAGTCGTGATCAAGAGGAATGGTGCATCTGCAATGGGGCGGTGAGTTTTGGAATATTTATAGTTTGTAGTCTAGAAACTCATTCCAGAACATGGATTCCGAAATGATGGTGGGATGTGAGAACCGTGCTTGCGAAATCCAATGGTTCCATTTCGGTTGTGTCGGTCTTCTCTCACCACCGGAGGACGAGTGGTATTGCCCGGATTGTCGTCAGCGTCCTTCCTCTTCTTCTCGCGACTAAAACTGCACATTATATATCTTGTTCTATATCAATTTTTTATAATTTTTCTCCTTTTTTGTTTTCGAAAATCCTTTTTTTTTTACTTGGTTAGCCACTTTTTTCCATTTTTACCATTTCTCTCTGTTTTTTTTTCTTTCTTTTGTCTTTTTTTTCCTTTTTTCTGGTTGTTCGAGAAATCATTCCCGGGCGTGTTAACTGCTACATCATCTCATTTCATTTGTTTTGTAATGAATCAAATCAGACAGTGTATGTGTCATTTTAGGGACTTATTTCATTCTTTCAGGAATTTGGATTCGAAATTCGGGATAACATAATTCCAGAGAAGATGGACAGAAATCAAATTCATTTTTTCAGCAAAATAGCAGCTCGTTGGTGTACCATTCATCTCCACATTTGCACCGATTCCTCCTTTTCGTTTTCATGTTTATTTTTTCTATTTTATAGGCTTGAATCTATATTTTATATATTTTACATTGTCAAAAAAAACGCTAAAATACTTTACTTATGGTTTTCCATTAATTGTTGTCAGCTCCAATTTCATACTTTTGGATGTCATAAGTCCTGGGGTTCCCGAGAGAAAACGCTTCTTTATTTTTGAATTTTCGCACAACTTGCACTTCCAATCTCGTGGTCGAAGGTTTGGGGTTTTTTAATCGCTTTTATAAGAATTGATGGCCGCATCTAAATAAACGCATGACCTATTTAAAACAGCTGTTCGGAACGCATAGCCTAAAAAGTGCAAGTCCACTTTTCGTCCACAATTCACTCATCAATCAATGTTTTGTTTTCTTCGGTTTTTCGATTTTCTTCACTACTCCTGGCGTTTTAGAGATAGGGGAGTGGGAGTTAGACAACGAAAACCTCGATGAGAAGAGGACGAGACATAACACGCAATAGAAGAGACGCTAGACAAGACCAGACAAAAAAGTGTCCGGTTTTCAATAGAGCGTGTGGAGAGGCTCTTCTAGATGCGCAGACAGTGACACGGACACTGCTGGCTGTCAAGGGTGGGCCCCAGTTTTCCCTTCGATCTATAATGCTAACCTTTACGTGTTGTGAATTTCTATGTGCGTTCTTGCTCTCCGGCTGTGACCTGTTTACCGGCTGATGAGCTGGTGCAGGTGACCCAATTTTCTCCTGATCAGCCGTGTCGGTGGCCTAACTTTCGCCTAGGTCTTTACCGTTTTTGTCATCATTTTTGCAATTCCTTCTGTTTGAATACTGTTGCTCATTGATTTCTCTTGAAGTCCTGTCTTGGGTCCCAACTGGATCTCTAGACGGTCACCATGACCGGCTTTCTCATTGATTTTTGTTTTTTTTTTGTCATCATCATCATTCTCTCCCGAAACGCTAGGCACTTCTAGATCGTTCTTAAATCAGATTTCAACACTTTTTTCGGTGATTTTAGGTCACAATTTGTGAAGAAACATCGTCGCAACTTTTCATTGTTCACTTTGATTTCCATCAGTTTCCTACCGAAGTTTCTAGGTAAAAACTGCTAAGCTCACAGTAGAAACCAGGCGAGCGCGTAGAATTTCTATGAAAAGGTCCGTTGCTATTTAAAAAAAAACAGAGACGGTATGTTTAAAGGCGCATAAGATTTTCGAATTACAACCAGCATTTTTTGACCTACAGTACCTGCGAGTCTTTTCTCTAAGTTCTCTCTCACTTTCTAGAGTTTCCTCGATTGCTCATAATAATCCCAATCTTTCAGATTACCACTCGCTATCACATAACTATACGAAAATGGATCATCTAGATTTAGAAGACGATCAGAGGGAGAAGCTTCGACAGTTTACGGATATCACTCAACTGCACGACTATGACGTCGCGGTCGGGACGCTCGCATCGTTGAATTGGAATCTGGAGCAGGCGATCGAGGCGCATCTGATGCAAGAGGACATCAACGACGACGATGAGGATCCAGAAATTCTGGAGACGATACCACCGAGGATTCCGGCCGCGAGTGCTCCAGCTTTGCAAGAAGAGGTCATCGAAGTAGAGTGAGTTTGGAAAGCGCCTAAGGCACGCCAGAAAAATCTTTAACTAAAGTCGATTGATTCATGCAAAAGGCCCTGACCTCGTCCATCCGCTCGTATGTAAATTGTACAGAAGAAACCACCCCTCATTACGCCATAGCCATAGATAGAAGGACCCCAGACGTTTCTGTGTCCGGTCGACAGGGCCCCTCATCGATTTGTCGCCTACTTTGTTGTTTTCCTTTTGGTGCGCGCTCCTCTTCCATACAAACCTCATCCCATCTACCTCGCTAATTTAGAAATCGATTGTTCGCTTGTCTCTTACCTTCTTATACATTTTTCTTCCAGACCTAACAGTATGCCAGCTGCACGTGGACGTCGCCGCGGACGCCCAGCCAACAACGGGGCTGCTTCAGATGAGAGGGAATCGGTCGATAACCAGGTGAAAAGACTGCGGGTGTGTGAGATGACTTGTGCCAGTTTTGTAGGAACACATTTGAAATTTCGTCTAGAAATTTCAATTTTGCCTCATGAACCGTGATTGTTGAACTTCCATTGGCGCGGTATGATCAATGTCGTTTAGATACTAGCAAGTGCTGAAATCGGTTACAAATTAACCGAGTTCCTTCTGCAGCCCATGGCAGTTCACTAGTTCTTTCAAAGCTATTCTAATTTTAGTGTGTTGTTTCCTTCTCTAAAACTGATATCATCAGCATAAATTTACAATATTCTTTTTTTCCTGCAGATTGATGATCGTGTGGAAACGAGACAGACCAAGAAGGGACAGCCGATTGCAAGAAGAGGACGTCAGCCCGCTGAAGCAACACCATCTTCATCCTCATCATCTGCTTCATCATCCGCTGGACCAGCAACGCGTCGTTCTACTCGTGCCAACCCGACACCATCAGAGCCATCTCAACCGGAACCGGCTCGTCAGAACGGAGTGCTTGCCGCATCGCGACAGCAACAACCACCAGTGGCGCAGGCGCCAATGCAGGACTCGGACGACGATGATGATGATGAGATGATTTACGAAGACGATCATAATGAGCCAGTTCGCATTGATGTAAGTTTGTGGAAATCTTCCACTGGAAGAGTTGCGCGTAAAGTTTGATGCATCGTACGCAATATTGGTATACAGTTTCAAGACAATAGCCGCCACGCTTTCACATGCCTTTTAGTTCAAAATTGCTTCCTGAAAATTCATGAAAAATGTTCTCAGTTGTTCAAAATTTTTTTGCAAGTCTTTTGCCATGGCACGGTGTAGAGGTTCGTCAGAAAATATAAAAGAGCTTTACCTGTTGTAAGAGATGTCCTAATTTTTCACCAGTTTCAGGTAGCGCGTCAAGCTGCTGTTCAAAATGGTCGTGTGCCGATGATTCCTGATGGATACACTTCGGTTCCAGATGCGCTTCGTAACTTTGTCACAGTGTTCTCTGATCGTTTCTGTTCACAGTCGCTTCTCAGGTAATTATAACTTTTAATTTGCTCTTTGCAACTCTCCCTAAGTTACAGGCATACATGCCACCATTCTTCACTGATACCCTACCAAATGCGCTGAAAGAAGCATTCGAGAATCCCAACAGTGAGCTTCGTCGCCCGCTCGTCTTCTACATTAATCACGATCGTTCCATCGCTGCCAACATCTTTGCGTCGCAAGTGCTGTGCTCAGAAGCCGTGTCGTCGCTGATCCGCCATCAATACGTGCTCTTCCCATGGGATATTTCAAGTGACTCGAATCTAATGCATTTTATGGAGTTCCTCCAAGCCTCCAACATGGCTGACGTCCGAAACATGGTCCAACGTCTCGCCATGCACAAGGTTGAGAATTTCCCAATGATGATGGTCGTGGTGCGCGAGCGAAACACTTATCGTCTCGTCGACTATTGCAAAGGAACAGACACTTGCTGATCAGGTGTTGGAGAAGCTTTTGGCTGGCGTGGAACAGTACTCGAGCATCCGTATGAATGAGGCAGCCGAGAGACGTGAACGCGAAGAACGCGAGGCTATCAGAAATCAACAAGAAGCCGAATATAAGGCATCTCTGGCTGCTGACAAGGCTCGTATGGAAGCTAAGCAGAAGGAAATCGAGGAGCAACGTCTTGAGGAGGAGCGAAAGTTGAAAGAAGAAGAGGATGAGGCGCTTCGTCGTCAACTCGTAGCATCACAGCTTCCCGATGAGCCACCAGCCAGTGCCCCAGTCGCAGAGATCATCAATGTCAAATTCAGACTACCAGAAGGTGGACAGGTAAGCGTCTTAATCGCTGTGGAATTATTAAAAAAAAATATTTTAGGACATGCGCCGCTTCCGCCGTGTCGAAAGCATCCAGACTCTGATCGATTATTTGTCGTCGAAAGGGTTCTCGCCGGACAAGTATAAATACTTCAACTCGGACTTCCCGAAAAAGGAGATCACTCGTCACTTTGATCTTTCGACAAACTTCACCGACTCAAAATGGCCAGCTAGGGAGCAAATTTTCGTCGAGGAAATTTGATTTCGTGATCTCTCTTGTCTAAACCTTCTGAAAAAAGAAGTTGTCTATAAATAAGTGTCTTCTGTCTTTTGTAAATTTTTTGTTGGAAAATCTTTTTGAGGTCTTTGCCTTAAGCTCTTCAGCAAGTTTCTCCCCTGTAATCGATTTCCTCTAACTTTTCTATTGGCCCCGCCTTTTCAATTCCCCAGTATCCTTTTTTTTTATTGACATCCCATTCACCCCCTATCAACTACTGATAGGGCGAATTTCCCAGTCCCTTTTCCATGTTTTCCAGTTTATATAATTTTTTTTCTTTCTCTTGGTCCCTCTTCTTCCCCATGTTCATCTCGTGTTCTCCTTTTCCAGAGGCACTGTGCCGACTTTCTTCTCTTGAGTGCACATATAAGCTTCAACGCTCTGCTTTCATTTGTTCTCTCTTGCTGTTGTCACTCCTCCCTCATATGTATGTGGAAAAATAAACACACGTGTAAAGAGCTGTTTTTTTTCGAAGACGACGACCTAGAAAAGTTAAACGAAAGTGACTGAAGCCGAATTGGAGATATCTGAAGATTGTGAGACTTTGTGTGCGCGAGAAGCCGCTTTAAGAGGCGCAGACAGAGCTGTGCCTGGATGTCCCTCCTTTTCCGGCCAGCTCGTCTTCTAACGCATTCTTTTTCTCTCTCTCTCTCTCTCTCTCTCTCTCTCTCTCTCTCTAGTTGCCATAGGAGACTCGGCAAACAGCTTATAGCCAGCTTCTCTTCTTCGATTGATTCCGTTTAAGCTCATATCCACGTCTATACTTCTAGAATGAGCCGCCCGAACGTCTTCTTCGACATAACCATTGGTGGACGTCCAGCAGGTCGCATTGTTATGGAGGTATTGTGTAGTTTGTAGTCAAAAAGCTTCCATTTTAAATGACTCCAGCTTTACACGGACGTCGTCCCGAAGACTGCCGAGAACTTCCGTGCCTTGTGCACCGGAGAAAAGGGCATCGGAAAATCCGGCAAGCCTCTTCACTTCAAAGGATCCAAATTTCATCGCATCATTCCAAACTTCATGATTCAAGGTGGAGACTTCACACGTGGCAATGGAACCGGTGGCGAGTCGATTTACGGAGAGAAGTTTCCAGATGAGAACTTCAAAGAGACCCATGTTGGACCGGGTGTTCTTTCAATGGTAAGAGAAACGTGGATTTATTGTATGCATTTTGTCGTAACGGTGTACAATGCTTGGTGTCCACTCTGCGTACAACTATCGTGCTCGCTTTTATGTATGTCATAGGGTGCCCGCTCTAGCCTCGTCTGCTTGGCTCAGTCGGTAGCGGCGCGGCACCTCCAGGCTTATATGAACGAAATTTCGAATTTAAAGCAAATGATTTCTAGGCGAACGCCGGTCCGAACACGAACGGCTCTCAATTCTTCCTGTGCACTGTGAAAACCGAATGGCTTGACGGAAAGCACGTTGTGTTCGGACGTGTCAAAGAAGGCATGGACATCGTTCAATCGATCGAGAGCAACGGATCTCAATCGGGCAAACCACTCCAAGAGTGCGCTATTGCCGACTGCGGTCAACTTAACTGAAGCTTCAGCTGAAGATCTTTGATTTACTTTGTCACTTTGTCACTCACTATTTATTATCTAAAATAAATCAGTTATTTGGAAAATTTCTTCTTTTTCTGTGTTTTTTAGAATTTTCCAGATGAAGCAAAGTTTCAGGAGATGACACTAATGAAAAGTCAAAGTAATTAGTTGTATATTTGCACATTCTCTTCTTCTTTCTTCCTGATAATGATCGCAACATTCGTCCCGTTATCATCCATTCTTCCTTATCACTACACCTCGGGGTTTTTGTTTCAAATACAACTCTTTTTTCTCTCCTCATTTTTGATTTTTGTGTCCCCTCTAATTCCTAGTAACTCAATAAATCAAAAATGTCTGTATCCTCGTACGGTGGTACGCCACGTGGCAATGAGCTACTACCGCTGCGCGGCTCGAATCAGCCAACAATGGGAGAAATGTTCGGATCACGAGTCAGAGATTCAAGATCAATCACAGCGGATCAGGCACTAATCCATATGATCAAAGTGATGATGGGTACAGGAATGTTGTCTCTTCCATTGGCATTCAAGCATTCGGGTCTCTGGTTGGGACTGATTCTTCTTTGTTGTATTTGTCTGATTTGTATATATTGCACCAGACAACTGATCTTTGGGCAACACTATATCACTTTTATGTAAGTCTTCTCTTTTATTTTCAACTGATTTTGAAAAGAAGAAAATGGGTATGGAGATACAGTAAACAACTTTGAGCCCATATATCTCGGTTCCTGTAAAAGAAATCAGAGAGTGGTCCACTGACAAAATGTTTATCATAATATCAAAACAATTTTATCAGTTGACCACTTTTTGATATCTTTTACAGAAAATGAGATATGCCAGCTCAAAGTGGACGGTCACCTGCTCAAAGATGACGGTCAAAGTTGGCTGTCAACTTTGAGCTGGCATATGTATCTCATTTTCTGTGAGAGATATTAAAAAGTGACCAACTGATAAAATGTTTATGATATTATGATACACAATTATTGGTTGACAACTTTTTTATATCTTTCACAGGAACAAAGATAAATTGGTTTAAAGTGGAAAGTTAGAAGTGGTGTTCCTTTAAAGTGTTTACGGTATATTGAAAACCACAAACATTAAAAATTGTATTTCTCAAAATCAACCAATTTCAGCAAGCGAGAGCAACGAATGGATTATGCAAATGTGATGAGATCCGCTGTAGAGTTGGGTCCCGCCTGGATTCGAGGCCACGGATATCTTTTCAAACAAATGGTCAATTTGAACATGTTCGTCGCTCAATTCGGCTTTTGCTGTGTCTACTTTGTATTCATGGCTGACAACCTGAAACAATTTTTCGACCAGACCTCCAATATTCATATCTCTCAAGCTGGTTGGATTGCTCTTCTTTTGATTCCAATCAGTGCCCTATGCACTATTCGGGAACTGAAAGCGTTGGCTCCATTGGCTGCTATTGCTAATTTTGTGTATTTGATTGCAGTGGTTATCGTCTTGCAAGATTTGTTCTCAGGTGAAGATTAGGTCTGAAAATAGTTTCTTCTGAAAGTATCTTTTACAGAATGGCAACCATGGGACCAACTTCCAGCCTTCGGATCCATTGAATCCCTTCCATTATTTTTCGGTACTGTAATGTTTGCTTTCGAAGGAGTAGCCGTTGTGCTTCCAATTGAAAATCAAATGAACGAACCAATTCACTTTATCACTCCTAACGGTGTTCTTAACACTTCCTGTGTCCTAGTTCTCCTTGTTTATATGACAGTTGGATTTTTCGGATTCTTGAGATATGGAAACGATATTAAGGACACCTTAACACTCAACTTACCACAGACTCCGTGAGTTGGCTCTGATATTGGAATTTATGGAAAAATTTATGTCTCCAGATTCTATCAAGCTATCAAAGTAATGTTTGTGCTGTGCATTCTGGTTTCCTACCCTCTTCAATTTTACGTTCCAATGGAGAGAGTCGAGAAGTGGATTAAGAGAAAAGTAAGGGTTTTACGGTTATGAAACACTTGAAAATTGGATTTCTAGGTCGTGGAGACAAAGCAAGAACCATTGATTTATGCGATCAGATTTGGTGGAGTACTATTGACCTGTAAGTGAACTAGTGATCTAAAAAAATTAGCAGCTCAATTGGGAATTCGAGAAAATTAACAAGTATCCTAACTAGAATAAAAAATAATGAAAAAAGTAACATAGTTTTTGTTTTCTGTGGGTACCGTAAAGACTAGTACATAGAAGGCTTAAACTTTGAGCTCGATTATCTCAATTTCTATAAGAGATATCAAAAAGATATCAACTGATAAAGTGTTGGTTATATTATGAGAGACATTTTATCAGTTGATACACTTTTGTTATCTCTTATAGAAATTGAGATAATTGAGCTCAAAGTGCAAGCATAGGGTGAGCTTCTTTTAAGGTGTTTACCAGAGATGCACGGAATGACTTTTTTGAGGAACGGAACCCGGGATCCTGTGTTTATGATAAATACATTTTATAATAAATTCAATTTTCTAGGCGCCATGGCTCAACTGATTCCCCACTTGGCACTATTCATCTCTCTCGTTGGAAGTGTAGCTGGAACATCCCTCACCCTTGTCTTCCCACCACTTATCGAGCTTTTGTGCTGCTATTCAAGGCAAGAATTGACCAAATGGGTTTGGATAAGAAACATTGGATTGATGCTGTTCGCTTTAGTCGGATTCACAACTGGTACCTATGCCAGTATGGTACAGATTGTGGAGGCTTTTGGAAAGTCTGATGTTTAGAAATTTTAATTTTTAGAGTTTTGTTTTGATGATAATTTGATGATGTTGGTTTTTCGAATGAGCTAGATAGAGTTTTTAAAGAAATAAAATTGTTTGATCTCAATTTGCTTGTTTTGTTTGCAGAATCTCATTTTGAATATTTTTGTGCTTCCTGCTTTACAGTAATCCTGGACGTTAATACCCTGCTCCACATAATCATTGTTCCACCCTGAGATTTCACTGGTATATTTTTTCCGGAAAAGAACCATACAGGATTCAATAACCAATAATTAATTTTTCCTAAATCCATTGAATCATACTAAATCTCCACAAAATCAGATTGCAAAAAAAATGCTGAAAAATATGCGTCAGGCCTGAAATTGCAATCGCACCAAACTTTTTCAAGGTAGATCAAAAATTGCAGTTCCTAAATCATCTCTCGTTAGAGGAAATGTTCTCAAAATTTCTAAAACATTCCAGAATTCAAGCAACGAAAAAAATTCTTGTTATCTGAAATCTAGAGAATCCAAGCTATTTCAAAGTGTCCAGAGCTAGCCAAAAGTCGCATTTTTAAATTTTTTTTTGAACTGAAAATACTTATTTTTATTGAAACATGACAACCACACATGTATCATTTGATCGAAAAGAACAAAATGGTTTTCAAAGTTTTTGAAAAGGAAACAATTAATATTTTGAACAAAAAAGTACTGATTAGCCAGACTTTCGTCTGTTGATCCCTTTCGCCACGTAGAGGCTCAGTACATAGAAAGGGAAAATGGTTTTTTACCGGGGAAAAACCAACCAAAAACCCCATTGCTCTCCGCCTGATCAATAGTCGTGATGTGCCCCAGTCTAGTGATGTAGTCGTTTAACAAACCGTAGCCCGCATGACCGACTAGACCAATCTAGTCCAGTGCCCAACAAGCCCACTTCACAAACTTTGAACGCCAATATCGATTTTTCTTGCCCTTATATATGCGAGAAAAAGGGGCGGGGCTTGGCACACCTGGGTTTGGCGGAAACTTCCCCCTCCCCTTTCCCCACTTTTTTGGCATTGTCGCCGTCATCAGAATAGTAATTATAGGGCAAGAAATCAAATATTTGAGTTTAATTTCGACATGAATGGGTCTTAAGATAAAGACAAAACCACAATGAAATCCATCAAAAAGTGACAAGTAGTTTTTTAAGTGAACAATGAAGCCTAAATTAGAAAAATACATTTTCAAAATGTCGTAAGTCGAATAATTGAATATTGAATGAGCTAGATAGAGTTTAAAAAAAATTTATTTGATCTCAATTTGTTAATTTTCAAAATCACATTTTAAGACACGTTCTCTAGATTTCCTCTTGCTACAGTAATCCTCGGCGTTGATAGCCTTGAGAACTATCCCATTACTTTTTTTGCAATTTCGCTCTCCCACTCCCAATTTCTCACCATTCACATGTTGTGATATGACGAGAGAAAAGAATAAACCGCGCGAGAATTCTCTATCCATCTCTTGTCTTGTCAATTTCTCTTAGTCATCCTATCAATTTCATCTGCTACCTCCTCCTACTTTCCTTCTTCTGTTTCTTCTCTATTTACAGAAAAAAGAACAGAACACTCTTAGATTCTAATATATCGAGATTATCATCTTATCATCCAGTTCACACTTCTCTTTACTTTTCTAAAGTTTACTTTTCCCATGAGTATTGGAATTGATTTGGGAACCACTTTCTCGTGTGTTGCATATTATCAGAATGGACAAGTGAATGTGTTGGAGAATGAAAATGGTGGGTTGAAATCAACTATCTCGATTTCCGATACAATTATTTAAAAACCTGTTAATTTATGAAAACTGTGGAATCATTAGCCTATCATGTTATCAGTTCTCGGCTGTCGGCGCCAACACTTGCACAAGTCTCTGAGCACATTATTCTATGTATCAGTTGAGACTTTTGGGAGACTTGTGCCGTTAAAATAACAACAGAAACAACAGAATACAAGACTTTCAAGCCTCCCACAAGTCTTGCACAAGTCTCTGACAAGTCTTAACTAATACATAAAATAATGGGCTCAGAGACTTGTGCAAGCATGCCAGCAGAGTTGATCAATTGTAAACTACAGTAAAACCTGTATTAGAAGGTAAACTGACTTTTAAATTTGAGCCAATTTTCTCGATTCCTGTCAAAGGTATAAAAAAGTTGTTAACCGGTAAATTATTTATCATAATTTCAGAAATATTTTGTCTGTTGACCACTTTTTGATATCTTGCATAGGAGTTGAGATAATTGAGCTACAACTGGACAGGGAATTTCTATTACACGTTTTACGATAGGTCTTGAACTCTTACTTCATATGTACTGGTCGCTCCCGGACATTTCGAAACCGGACATTTTGCAGCCAGACATTTCGCAGCCAGACATTTCGCAGCCTCTGATAACGTCAGAAAATCAGAATTCCAAGTTCTTCGATTTTGAAAAAAGTTTATTTTAATGAAAAAATAGCAAGCAAGTATTCAATCAATTGAAAAATGCTAAATCTTCATTGTTATTCAGAATTTCTTTTTAAAATATAAGATTTTAGAAAGTTGGAATTCTAGAAGAAAAAAAAGAAATTTTTAAAAATATCATAACAGTGAAGATTTAGCAGTTTTCCATTTATTGAATACTTGCTCGCTATTTTTTCAGCTGAAATTTGATTTTTTTCAGCCGAATTCTTCGAAAATTCAATTTCTGACATTAAAATACTTTTTTCAAAACCGAAGAACTTGGAATTCTGATTTTCTGACGTTTTTAGAGGCTGCGAAATGTCTGGCTGCGAAATGTCTGGCTGCGAAATGTCCGGCTGCGAAATGTCTGGCTGCGAAATGTCTGGCTGCGAAATGTCTGGCTGCGAAATGTCCGGATACGAAATGTCGCGGCTGTGAAATGTCCGGATACGAAATGTCCGGGAGCCGTACTGGTTGAGTCTTAGACGGGAACAACTCCATTTTTTTTTCAAAAATTCAGATATTCAGGGTGTCGAACAACGCCGTCTGTGTTGGCTATGACTGAAGATGGGGATTGTCTTATAGGACAACATGCAAAAGACGTGATCACAAAAGCAACAAGTTCACTTTTTGGTTAGCAACACAGACAAAAATAAATTCTCCTATTCTTTTTTAGATGTAAAACGAATAATCGGCAGACGGTTTGATGACGTTCTCCTTCAACGAGACATGCCTCTTTGGCCGTTTCGGGTTGAGAAGGATACCGATGGAACTCCCTATCTTCAAATTCAAAATGACGCTAAGAAAGTCAAATTCTCAGCTGTTACAGTATCCTCCTTGATTCTGAAATGTCTCAAAGAGAATGCGGAGAGAAAGTTAGGTGTTGAAGTGAAAAGTGCAGTGATTACGGTACCTGCTTATTTCAATGCCACGCAACGGAGAGCAACGGAAGAAGCGGCTGAAATGGCTGGGTTGAAGGTGTTGAGGATTTTAAACGAACCAACGGCAGCGGCAATTGCTTATAGTTTGAAGGTCACTTATCTTTTTCAGATTATTAGGAATCGTAATAATCCGAAACCCTATATTCCAGGGCCAACGCTTCTCCAGAAGAAATATATTGATATATGATCTGGGTGGTGGCACATTTGACGTAGCCGTTGTCAATGTGGAAGGACCCAGGATTACTGTAAAGGCAAAAGGAGGAGACACACATTTGGGTGGCCAAGACATTGATAATATAATAATGATCAAGATTATCGAAGAGTTTAAAAGAAGACACGGAATGGACCTGAAGGGAAATTATCGGGCACTGAAAAGGGTCCGAAAATCGGCTGAAACTGCGAAAATCACACTTTCAGCTAGCAACGTGGCAAGAATTGAGGTATGAATTGAAATCGATCACGGCTACTTGTAGTTCAAAGCTTTGAACTATTTTCAGTTAGAATGTTTACACCTTGGAATTGACCTTACTATGAAGATCACTCGATCAGATTATGAATCTTGGATCGAGAATCTTCTAATGGCCACGGTGATCCATGTGGAACGAGCCATTCGAGAAGCGAATCTGAAAAAGTCCCAAATTAACGAAATTGTGTTGGTTGGAGGAAGCACTCGAATTCCATTATTGAAGAAAATTATCAAAGCAAGTTTCGACGACAATACTAAAATTTGTGAATCCATTCATCCCGATGAGGCTGTGGCATATGGAGCTGCTGTGATGGCTGCAGTGTTGACAGGTTTGTAGTTTGTATATAGTCTGTAATCAATGATATATTTCAGGAGTGGAAGAAGTTCAAGACATGCGCCTGATAGACATGATTCCAATGTCAATTGGAATACAGTGCAATAGAGACTATATGTCGGTGCTTATCAAGAAGGGTACTGTATTTCCATGCTTCAAAAAGAAGACGTTCATCAATAGTGAAGATTTTCAAACACTCATTAATGTGCCAGTCTATGAAGGTTGGAACAGTTCTGAAGCTTTTTATCTTATCACCTGAAACGATTTCCAGGCGAAAGAGTCCTGTGCTCCCATAATCGCCAACTCGGGGAAATCAGTCTTCCAATCCATCCAAAGAAACGTGGCGAATCTGTTGTAGACATCACTTTGGAAGTAGATCACAATGGAATCCTCCAAGCGACTGCGTTGGATCTAAACACCAAAAAGGCTATCACAACTACAATTGTATATGATCATTGTGCTTTTACACAGCCAGAAATAGACGAAATTACTAGCCAAAGTGAAGAGGATAGGTTATTTGATGAGACATTTAGATTACGGTACAAGCAATTGCAAAAAAGTGAAGATATGGCTTATGACTATAAACATCGGTTGGAGAAGATTAGGGTAAGACGAATTTAGCTGCTATCATCGCAAAAAGATATTTCTTTCAGGGCAGCGTTGATCGAGAAAAATATTCAAATCTTATGGAAACGGTTGAAAGGGAAATCTCATGGTTATCCGGGTTTCCGAAGGTTCCACCCAGTGATTACATCCATAGACGAAGAACATTACGAGTGAAAGTTTATCCGACATTATTTTTGAATCTGTCGTTTTACTAATTATTGATAAAACTGGTAGATTATTATTTGATAATGAACATTTTAAACAATTTGTACGGTTCCTGGAACAAAGTCACAGGGTACAGTAGTCGAGTTCGAACCAACTGAATGAGATTTCGAAATTTTAGAATTTAAGAATTTCGAAATTTTTTGAGCTTTTCAAATTTCGGAATTTAGGGTTCTAGAATTTTAGAATTTTCAAATTTCTCCGTTCCTGAATCTGAGAGTTTGTCAGTTTGGGAATTTGATTGTTTTTTCAGACTAACTAACTACTCACTTTTTCTTAAAAGGCCGTATTTTTGAAGGGTCGTATTCTATACGTATTTTTCAAGCTTTCAAAAGTCCACAGACCTTCATCAGTACAGACTTGCGTTCTTTATATAAGGAAGATTGGAAATATTTTTAGAGAAACAAAAATATTTGGTCGGAGTTCCCCTTTTCGTTAATTATTTGTTTCTCTATTAAAATTTTCTTCATCTTTCGGTTCGGAAAATTGAGCAACTTTTGAGAATCCAAGAACACAAGAATAAGGGACCATAAACTTTTTTTTTCGTCGTTTTCTCATTCTTCTTTTGCCTCCATTGTTCAAGAAACTAAACAACTAAACACCCTCTCTCTTGCAATCATGATATCCCCCATCCCTTCCCTCTCTCTCTACTTCCTATACTCGAGAAAAATCTAAAAAGTGTAATTCTTCGAGAGGATCCCATGCGTTCGAGCTCCTCTCTTCTCTACGGCACTGCCATTTTACGTTTTTCTTCTGACGCCACCTGACACTTTCCGAGTGTGTGTGCCATCCCAATATACCTATATCCTAACACTTCTTCCTCTTTTTCCGATTCGTTTTCTTTCGATTGAGGAAAATGAGGAGTCTTTTGCTCCTATTAGCGCTTATTGCACTGTTTGGGCTAGTTAGGTGAGTAAAAGTTTGTTTTCGGACGATTTTAAAACATGCAAAAGCTGGAATACCGTAACCACCCGAACAGTCAACTTTGAGCTCATATATCTCGGCTCATGAGAAAGGTATCAAAAAGTAGTTAATTGAAAAAGTGTCTATCATAATATCACAAATATTTTATCAGTTGACAAATTTTTATATCTTTTACAGAAAATGAGATATGTTCGCTCAAAGTTGACAGTTTGGTGTGGCTATCTATTAGAGTGTTTACTGCAATTTAAAACAAACAAATGATCTGCAAACAGTGTAAAACAGGTGCTAGCTGATATTTGTGAAATTACAGTTCCCAGAAAGCATTCCACTCTCGTCGTCTTGGAACTGAAGGTCAAATCGTTGGACGGATACTTTCCGAGTATGATCCAAGCAGCAGACCACCAGTCAGAGGTTGACAGTACCCATAACTCTATCACACTGATAGTTATTTAAGATCACGCTGACAACTCTGCTATTCTTGTTATCACCAACATCTTCATCAATCGTTTGATCTGGCAGAACAACTATGCTGTGAGTTCCATGAAACATATTTCAATAGAAGGCCCTTAACTTTTAACTTTGAACCAATTTACCTCGGTTCCTGTCAAGGATATAAGAAAGGTGTCAACTGATAAATTGTTTATCAGAATATCAGAAGTGTTTTGTCAGTTGACTACTTTTTGATATCTTTCACAGGAAGCGAGATAAATTAACTCAAACTTGACAACGTGGGGCCCTTCTATTACAGGCTTTACGGTATACAAAGTTGTTCCATCCTAATTAAATTGTTTAGGAAGTGGATCTCTACCTCCGGCAACAATGGCAGGATAGCCGTCTAAAGTATGACGTGGACACTCGCGAGGGAATCGATGAGATCCGATTGCCTCAAAATCGAAAAATCTGGGAACCCGATACCTACTTCACATCTGGAAAGGAATTGGCTGGAAATGACAAAGGATCCAAGCATATCGTTGTCGAGCCAAGCGGCTATGTTAGATCTTCGGAGAGAAAACTTTTGGAACTCCCATACACCTATGGTACCATGTTCCCGTTCACCAACTCCAGACAGTTCACTATCAAACTTGGAAGCTGTGAGTTTTGTGAAAAATAATTTTAAAAAACCAAGATCACTTCCAGACCAATACGATATTGATGATATTGTGTACCTTTGGGCCAACTCTCCACCACTGGTCAACCCAATCGAAGTGTCTCAAGATCTTCTCAGAGGAGATCTCACTTTTGAAGAAGCTAGTGCTGGAGACTGTGTAGGAAACTACACAGTTGGAGTGTATTCCTGCATCGATGCTCATGTCTATTTCTCGGCTAGCACTCTCTCTGGACTTATGTCTTGGTTCTTGCCTTCTCTTTTCTTGTTGATCGGATCGTGGCTTCACTTCTGGATTCATGGAAGTTGGTCAGTTCCAAGAACCATCTCATCTGCCGTTCCATTCTTCATTCTGGCAGCCTATTATGTAAGTTTTTAATCACAACAACGCGGAAGAGAACCTCGACTCGAAATTTGGCAGAAAGCCAGGTTTGGACGCGTAGCGCGGTCGCGTCGCGGCTTTTAGATGAGTAGCTACTCAGCAACACTTAATTACATCATTCGTGAAATTTTAATAAAGAGTGAGGAGCGAAGCGACGAAAGAGTAAAAATAGGGCAAGTCGCGCCGAAGGCGCACCAGCCAGATGTTTGAAGATCGAGAGGCGCGGTAAACAGACTGCTGTTTTGGAATTTTTGAATCTGACACGAATCCAACTTATGTGTGCGACGAAGCGCACTTCTTCCAGGTTCCCACCCGCAATGTCGTGAAAAAAAATCCACGTGTTACTTCTTCAGATCTTCATGCGCGAAGACTCGTACACTCAAGCGCAAGGAGCATGGCTCGGATTCTGTCTCGTTCTCACTTTCTTCTCTTTCGTAGAATACTTCCTTGTCATCTGCTGTGGAGGTCGTCGTTCAATTCGCTACAAGACCCTCAGTGGACAAGAAGAACATCCAATGGGAGCTGCTAAGGAGACAGTCGAAGTGGCTTATGATCAGGGATGCTCCTCGTTCAGAAACAACAACGGAATCGATGTGATCTCTCGTGTCGCTTTCCCAATTGTCACTGTCATCTTTTTGGTTATCTATTTCATTTTTATTGTTTGAAACCTTTAAAAAATGCCAATTTCTAGTGATACTTTTACTATTATTTAGTTTGAAATTTAATAAATGTGTGTTTATGTATATAAAACAGAGCTATCACAATAAGTGGAATGTATGCAAGCAAGAATTCAAAATTGTGAAAATCCAAAAAAAAAATGTGTGGTGATTATTGTGGGGTGATAGTTGACTCTCCATTAGCAGTGGTGATTATGAGAAAAGCTCCGGAAGACGGGCGGCTCGACGATTCGGTGGTCCATTTAAGAAGGTTCTCCGAGATGAAGGACAATGGAGTCCAGCTGAAAATTTCAGAAAATGTTTGTGTTGCATCGCTAGAAAATCAGGCTGTACCTTGAATGATCTGCCTTTGGCATCCATTTTCTATTCATTTCGGTATCCAGCGTAACTGGGAGAATCGTCAAGACCGATGAGTTTTCCGGTAGTCCAGAGTCCTTTTCAGCCAATGAACTAGCCAAATGATGAACGGCAGCTTTTGCCATTCCGTATCCAATCATAGAGGGTGTTGGTCCAGTGGCAGCAGCGGCACCAGTCAACTGGAGAAGACCTCCTGGCTTGAGATGAGTGGTAGCAAGCTTGGCAGCGATGGCGGAGCTCCAAACGGATTGTTTGATCATTAAATCGGCATTTTTGACAAAGTCCTTCGAGGAGGCAGACCCTCCAGCCCATCCACCGGCGACACAGAAGACACCATCGACTTGAGATCCTTGAAGAGAAGAGGCGGCTCTGAGAATTGAATTGGAATTTTTTATTCAGAATGTACTTATAGTCAACTCACTGCGCCAAAATTGATTGTTCCTGTTCGGTCCAATTTTTGTTGGCGTCTACCAAAATGTTGCTATCAGCTTGATCGTTGGCGCTCAAGTCGATATTGAGGACAGTCTGGAAGTTTTCATAATTCATCAGAATCCAATGAGTAACTCACATATCCATTTTTCTTGAAAAAGTCCAGGATGGCAGATCCGAGAGCTCCTTTTCCACCGTAGACGATCACTTTTCCAGACGACATTTTCTGCAAAATCAGTTGATTTATCGAAAAAGAAGAGAGAAACGAAACGATATCAGAGGAACACAAATGGACGACGAAATGGTTGTTTCGAGGACAAACGATGTCCGTCTCAAGGTCGATTTTAATGTGATACTGGTATTGGAAAATAGAAAATTCGCTATAGAATGTGATGAGAGACGTTGAGAACTGATAAAGATGCAAAAGAAATTGAAGAAAACAAAACAAAATGAGTTGAAATGACTGAAGATTACTGTAGAAAAAGTGGAAAATCGAAATGAGTGTCGTTTTCTCGGTCAATTTTACATCTCTAACAATGAAAAGCATATTAATCGATAGCTCTTTTCACCCTTAACCTGATTATATAAAACGTTTCCCATAAAATTTTATGCGGAAAATTCAGAAGACGACAGAAGATCGTGAGAGAGAAGAGAAGAGAGAGAAGACGAGGTGGGTAAGAAGTAAGAGCGCTAGACGGGCACGCGCGAGGGAGTGGAGGGAGCAGAGAAATTTGGAAAAATATTTAATTTTTCCGATTTTCGGGACAGGTTTTCTTTTACTTTTTCAGTTTTTTGAGGTTTTCGGGAATTTAGAATTTTAATAGCTGTGAATGTCAATTATATAAAGCCGCAGTTCACTACAAAGTTGCCTTTATATGTTGTTTTTAGCTAAAGAAACGTTTTCAAAACCTTGAGTTTGTCGCTTTTTCATCTTGATGCCATTTTTAGTCAATTTCAGACATGAAATGTCATTACGAAGTACTACAAGTAGAACGAGACGCTGACGATGACCAAATCAAGAAGAACTATCGAAAGTTAGCTCTCAAATGGCATCCTGACAAAAATCCAGATAACGTCGAAGAGTGCACACAACAGTTTCGGCTGCTTCAAGCCGCCTATGACGTGTTGAGTGATGTCAGAGAACGAGAATTCTACGATCGCCACCGAGAGAGTATTTTGAAGGGCAAGAATTCGGACTTTGAAGAGCAATCGGTTGATTTGTTCCCATATTTCAGTGCAGGATGTTATCAAGGATACGGAGACGATAAGAATGTATAATTCAGCAAAATTAGGCTAAAAGAGCAATAATTTCGTTTCAGGGGTTCTACGCAGTGTATGAGCGTGTCTTCCGAATGCTAGTCACCGAGGAATACGATCCTGACGATGAGAATCCCATCGATTACCCGGATTTTGGAAATAAAGACAGCGATCCGGAGAGAATTGTAAATGTTTTCTACGGGTTCTGGACGTCCTTCTCTACAAGCAGATCGTATGCGTGGCTGGATCACTATGATATCACACAGGCGTCGAATCGTTATGAGTCTAGACAAATTGACATGGAAAATAAAAAGTATAGAGACCGAGGGAAGGCGGAGAGAAATGATCAGATTAGGGTGAGAAGTCTATCAGATTTCTGTCATTAGAAACTGTTAAATTGTAGGAGTTAGCGACATTCGTGCGGAAGCGAGATCCACGTGTCAAAGCCTATCGTCAGGTGCTTGAGCAGAAAAAGGAGGAGGCGTTGCAGAAGCAGAAGGATAATAGGCGGAAACAGCTCGCCAAGACACGAGAGTTAGTTAAAACATTTAAAAAAACTGTGAAAAAATTCTATTTCAGAATGACTGAAGAGCACTTGAAGGACGAGAAAACTGAAGCGGATTTCCAGGAGCACATGAGAAAGCTGAATCTTCAGATGGCAGAGGATTACGATACGTGTAGTGATGAGTGTGACGAAGAAGGCGAAGAACTACCGTACTGTGTGGTTTGCAGTAAATCTTTCAAGACTGTGTAGGGTTAATGACCTAGATAATATTATTTAAATTCCATTGTTTTAGAAACGCCAAGCTCAATCATGAGAACTCAAAGCAGCACATCAAACAGTTAAACGAGCTCAAGAAGCATTTGAAGGACGAAGACGCGACGTTGTTCGCGGAGAAAGAGGAGCAACAGCCAACGAAAGCTGGTGAAAGAAGGAAAAATAAAAGGAAAGATCGGAAGAAAGGAAATGGAATATTTGGAGGTGATGGATTGGAAGACGTGGATGAAGAAGTAGCGGAAATCGTCGAAAAGCAGCCAGAAGGAGAAAAGGAGATAGAGGAGAGATCGGCACCAGCGGAAGTGATTAAAAAGGAGAAGAAGAAAAGAAGAGGTGAATTTTTTTTAGACAAGCTAGGGATTCTAGGGAAATCTAGAGAACATTTCTAGACCTTTTTTTTAGTTTTTCGGCTTTTTTCAAAGATTCTTTTTCGATTATTCCGAATTTTTAGTCTAAAATTTGATGGAACGGTGTTCGTAAAGGCCACTGTAGGTTACTGTAAGAGCTACTTTTCCTTTTGTAGTTTTTTTGCAACGTCATGCAGACAAAAAAGTTTTATCTGCATTTCAACGTGATGGTGTTTGAAACAATAAAAACTACAAATGGAAATTAGCTTCTACAGTAACCTACAGTAATCTTCACCGAACGCCGTTCCATCAAATTTCAGACAAAAAACCGGAAATGTCGGAAAAGAATCTTTGAAAATAGCTGAAAAACCGAAAAAGGTCTAAAATTTTTGCAAAAAATTAAAGATAAAATAAGTTCAGAAGATTCAAAAACCTTCCAGAAGTTTCCCGATTTTTCTCTGTTGCTAAATGAATCTACTTATTTTTCTACACATTTTGATATATTAAAAGTGATTTTAAAAATTTTTTCAGCCGACAAAACGGAAAAATCTGCCACCGCTGACCTCACCGAAGATTCGCCGGAACCAACACACTCCAATGAACCTAAATCGGCTACTTGTGACAAGTGCCGTCAAGAATTCGAATCGAAGACAAAACTGTTTGCTCATTTAAAGGAAACCGGGCACGCCACACTTCTGGTGAATAAATCAGGAGGTGGAGGTGGAGGGAAGAAGGCGAAGAATAAGAAAGGACAAAGAGGCAATAAGAACAATGATGATGGGGACGATTGGTAGAAGGAGCTCTGTTGGATAATTTATTTTCTTTTTTCCTGTTTCCCATTTTTTCCCATTTCTAGTCTTTTCTTCCCTGTTAAAACCATTTCCTGTTGATTGCTAATTTTATTCTTGTTCTCTGGTTAATAATCACTTTCTAAATAGAACCTTGGATTTTATTCTATCTTTTCCCTGGAAGTTTCAGACAAGTCGGACGCTTTCTTCAGAAGATGTCTGCTCGCCACGTCATGTTATGTGGAAGCTTCAGAATCTGAGTGTCTTCTGGATCTACTGAATGAATAATGTTCAAAAAATCATTCGAATCGAATAAATTATAACACTTGCAAACAACAAGGAAATGAATATAATAATTATCATCTAATTTGAATGAATTGCTGGAAAATTAAAATGAATTGTGTGCAAAAATCAGTAGCCGGGGTATAAAAAAGATGAGAAATGTTTTAAAAAAAGTATGTTAAGCGATGATTCCATTTGCCAGATTTGAGTCTTAAATCGTGTAAAACTGTCGAGGAGCAAGAGAGAAGACGTCAGGAGTATATGAAGCAGAAAGAAGAGAAAAGTTGAGTTTTCAAGCCATCACAGGGTTCGAACTGCTTTGGTATGCTGATGCACTTTATTGAGAAAGTGACGTGGCAAATTAATCTTCTCCTTAAAGCGTAACAGCATACCACAGAAGTTCGAACCCTTATGTCATTAGATTTCAAATCTATTATCATCCATTGCCTAACTACCACGTGGACCCGTATTATGGAAAAGTTTCAGAATCCGATACGAAGCAGCAAAACTTCGCATGAAAATTGCCAGAAGACGACGTTGTCAGGAAAGAGCCAGAAGGAGAAAAATGAGAAAAACTCAACACGAGCTGATAATGTTAAAGGCGCGCGACACGATGCTTCACTGTCAACGGACCGCCCGTGTATGTATTGAAGTACAAGTGCTGAATGTGATACGGAAGGCTGAACGAAGACGGCAGAAGATGGAGTTGGAATTAATGGAACAGGAATTGTTAAAGGCGTTGGGATTGAGTGAGAATTCGGACGAGAAGAAAATCGAGGAGTTGCCACCGGAAAAGAAATTTTGATTTATATTAAATGTTGTCATTTCGAACTTCAGTACGCTCCTTTTTCAGCAATAAAGCCCTAATAGTTTAATATGTACAGTACTGGCCAAAAAGGTATTCGCAAACGATTTTTTGAGAGTAACTTTGCTGAAACTTAAGGGATCGATCTGAAAATTTTACTGTGCATGTCGTACACGGTGACGACAAATTGCGTACAAGGAAATTGCATCATTTTCAGAAATTTTTTGTTTTTTTCAATTTTTTCAATTTTTTCGTTTTTTCACTTTTTTCATATTTTTATATTTTTGGATATTATGGTTTCTAAGAATGTTGGTTTCGGCTCCTATGTATTTAAAACTGTTTACAGACATGGCCAGACCCCTCGGAAAAAAAAAACATCTCTCAGGACATCCGTAAAGCCATCGTCATCGGCTTCAGAAGTGGATGTTCCAAGGACCTCTTGGCGCAGCAGTTCAATGTTACTAAACGTGCCATCGAGAAGATCTTGAAGCAGTTTCGGGATGAGGTAATATTCGAAAATAGTATAGTTATGGAAAAAAAATGTTTAGGGAGCCTTGGTGGAGCGAAAATCGCCTGGAAGACCGCGTATCACGTCGAAGAACATGGATCGGAACATCGTCCGAGCTTCAAGAGAGGATCCCCAGAGGAGTTCTACGGACATTCAGATGGTCGTGAAGACTCCAAATGAAGTCACACCATCCCTGAGAACCGTCAGAAGACGTCTTCAAGATGCTGGACTCCATGGACGACGGCCAGCTAAGAAACCATCGATCAGCAAGAAGAACAGAATCGCCCGCGTAGCATGGGCCAGAGCTCATCTCCACTGGGGACGTCAGGATTGGGCTAATCACGTGTTCAGCGACGAATCCAAGTTCAATCTGTTCGGTACTGACGGTATCAAGTGGATTCGCCGTCCGGTTGGATGTCGGTTCGATCCCAGCTACCAGCTCCAAACCGTCAAGCATGGAGGTGGATCGGTGATGGTCTGGGGCTGCTTCTCTGGGACTTCAATCGGCCCGCTGAGAAGAATTACGGGCATCATGGATCGCTTTGTGTATGAAGACATCTTGGAGAACACAATGAGACCCTGGGCACGGTCTACTGTGGGCCGGGCGTTCGTTTTCCAACAGGATAACGACCCGAAGCACACCTCGAAGCACATCAAGGAGTGGTTCCGACGCCGCCACGTGGATCTTCTGTACTG